GTGATTTTGCGGACAAATAGTTTTTCAGCAAATCCAAAAAAACGGTTGACATGCTGGTGAAATGTTGCAAAAATTGAAAAAACCACTTACTTAATTTTTAGTATACCATCCAAGGCTTTACACCCGCATAATTTTTTCGGGTTTTGGGTGTAAAAGATATTCTGGTATTCAAACACTGCAATACCCTATTTAAACAAACGTTTGGGTGTTAATAACCGTTATTATTCGGGTTAATATTGGTTAATACGGGTGTTAAGTAGTTAAGGAAAAATATTATTTTTCATTGGTGGAGAGTGGTGAGCCCTCCACTAATGAAATATTTATATTTTTTGTAACCTGCCTATGTAATAAAATAGCAATTTCTTATACAACTGTGCAACAGTTTTTTAGACCAAACTATCATTATGTTAATTTCAAGCAATCGTGTAACTACGATTTATTTTCGGGGAAGAGGGGGATTTTAATATGTGTATGAAGCTTATAAATTATAATATTTATTAAGATTAAAAATACTAACACTATGTCGTACTCCTAGTTAAATGCGAACATATCGCATGCGACAAAAAACAAACTATTTTGTATTCTGCGTTTGTATTTGTGGCATAGGCGGAAATCGGGGGGGGGGGCTTGAGGGGACTAAGTCCCCCAAAAATATAAAGTATAGGTCTTAGCCCCTCTACACCTAAAAATTGTTAAGTGACTAAAAATACAATCATTATTATAATTATAAAATGCATTTTTTAATAACTGAATTAAAAAAAAATATTCTGTGATAAAAATTAAATCAAATTTATAATATTTTACAAACTTCTTGTCATGACTAGGAACGATCGCCATTAATGTAATATTGATAATATGAAATAATACCCGTATAGGTTGTTTAATTTAATTAATTAATAATACCTGTTTAGAATACCTACTCCAAAAATGTTTAAGATAAGGCACCTAATTGTTTTTTTGTTTAAATTTTTGATTAAAAATATCAAATTGTCAAACTTCGTAAATTGCTTTGTTGAGATAAATAATTGCGCATAGTGGTATCTATAGGTATAATAAGCAAATAATGCTCAGCCTCCCCGCAAATTTCACGAAATTTCCGCTTATGGTTTGTGGTGCGTGCACAGTGTGCACTGAACACACTAAAAACGCACTAGCTAGGACATATCGTAATACAAAAATAATAATAATTTGTACTTATGAATGTTACTATGAAATTATTACACTAACAAAAATTGATAATTCACGACATCACGACATAGACATGTGTACTACATATACGCCATATACTGAACAAATACGAAAATGCGAACAACAATTTAGGTAATCATACGTGAGACATCAGTTCTATTTCAGACTTACAGTATTGCAATAAAATAACAGTAGTAAGTATTGCAATAATTAACGACGACTGTGTGATTCGTAGAAGATCTATTACCTATTAAATTATAATAATATGACGTATTCGCTTGGGATAATTTTAAAAGTAGTATCCCAGTTATTTACACTTGAACATTCAACATACCATACCATTCATGCACAACTGTCAATATAATGTATTGCTATTGTCTTTATTTAGATAAATTTAGATTAATTAACAATTTTGTATATTATTTGTGAAATTATTCCTGTGAATATTCATATTTATCAAAACCGTTTTCAGAAATACCGTGATTTGTACTTTGCCTTTATCATTTAAGATTTATACATTAACTCGACCAATGGGGGGCGGGGATTAAAGCTCTTTCCTCCCTCCCCCGGTACGCCACTGATTTATTTTCACAACGAGAAAAGACGATTAATTCAGGGCTCGGTGAGAGTTACGGTTTGTTGGAATATCGGTGAAATCTGGTGTCGGGTTCATAGTCGAAGCGGAGATGTAGACCATCAAAACTTTGATCACCACAAACTTTAAGAGTCGACATTGGGAACGTTGGCTCGTTTTCGGGATATTAATACGGAAAATATTATTGTATCATAAATCGTTTTCGTAAGAAAAAAAGAATAATTAAAATCGTATCGACAGTTCTCTATTGCCCGCGACACGCGTCCGGAACAGTGGTTATCGGCCGTGGAGCGTGTCTTGGACGTTATGGTGTCCCACCGTCACTTGGTCGTCATAAACATGCGGGAAAGCCTTTAGCGCTGGTCGCGGTTATTGACCCATAGAACCACGTTATCATCGGTGAAATACTCGACCAACGGCTGTAACGGTGCATGCGAATGTTAACAATACATCCGTCGAGAAATAAGCGTCTGAACACAGGAATGCACCATAAGTATTCTGCGCATGCGCGCAATTTATTCACCACTATCATAATGTTAGGCTGTTACCATCGAGATAAAGAATATACTGGAGCGCGCAATCCTATTACCATAAATAAAACGAGCCGTCGAGCGGCGTCGATTTAAACGCTATCCCCACCACCGTACGGCAAGAAACACATTAGTGCGTATTCCGTACACGGGTAATGTACAAATATTTCATTTTTTTTATTGTTTTAAAGGCGATTTTTTTGTACTTACTTAATGGAAATTTAAATAACAATAGAAAAAAATCATATTTATATATTTATTTATTAAGATCAAGAAAAAAACTACAAAGTACTTGACAAGGTGTTGAAATAAACACCTTCAGAGTAATTGAAGTTTGAACAATTTCCAGATTCAACAGTTATATTGTTTGTGAATAATAACTGCTTAAGAGTATTTTTGAATTGCACTGAAATTTGGATTGTTGTTTGAGACACCTCTTGCTCTTATGCAACTAAAAAAAAGTTCTAAATGATCTTGGGACATTTTATTAGTCAATACAAATTTTAATGGGCTTCGATATTTATTTAGTAATTTATACGCTACATTTAAGGTACTTTCCATAGTATTAATAAAACCAAGTACAAACTATTTTTTACCACCTAAAATAATTGGAACATCTTGTATTTTTAAACTTTTAAAATAACTAGACGTTTCGTCGAATATAACTTTGATTGTGATAATGTTTCGAGAACTTACAGGACTTTTAAATCCTTTAGAAAAAGGAATTCGGGAGTTTAATATATCAAATAAACGATCAACAAGTCTAATGAAATAAACAGTTGATTCGCTATTTTGAATATGGTAGTAAAAATTTAAAAATCACTAATTTAAACCGAAGAAAAGTCAATAAAACGTTACTACAAAATGTATAAAATTAAAGTTTTTGCCGTACAGTGGTGGAGATGATTATTATCAGCGCCGCTCGATTATTGTTTACAAGTACGCGCTCCAGTGTATTCTTTATCTCGATGGCTGTTACATAGAGTTATTCTATGGGCTGTTATCAATATATCATATCAAATCACTATAATACGATAGTAATATTATAATGATATGAGTAATGAATCACACTATTCAAAATTTAACTACATACTTCCTATGTAAATAATATATTGTCATTTTATTTTAGTTGTTAAATAATAATGTTCAGTTTCGTTATAATTTTTTATTGAGATGTTTAGTTTTAACTCTAGTGTAATATACTATGTATAGATTATATTTTTTCATACGTATTTTATAGTTACTACGTAATTACAATTTACAATTATAACCATAAAGAAATTAATAAAAGTAATATGAATCACATGCGAATCGCAATATCTCGAATAAGAAAAAGTTGTGAATCAGCTTTAGCAATCAAATGTATCCAGCCATCCAGTATTAACGCTCCGCTTATATTTGTTACTGTCATTTACTTTGTCTATGTTGATGTTGAATTAAAAAGTGTTAAATAAAATATCAGTAATACTGTAATAAGTATTCTTGATAAAGTTATTAATCTAACTCTAAAATCCTTACATCCTAATATTGTGTAACCGTGTTGAACTCACAACTCGGCACACTACACTAGTTGGTTTTGATAATTCATACTTGTACTTACTATTAAGATAATGTCATTTATATAGATATTAGATAATATTGAATTTTTATAATTAAGATGTTTGTGAATGGTATTGTTAATACTCAATAAAACATTTAGTAAATAGCCTTTGTGTAATAAATTTTGATTAAGTCTGGTTTATGAAATGTTCAAATAGGTAATTGGGTTATGTAGATTTAAAAATAAACATTATTAAAAGTCATCACAATATATTAGATCAGCGATACTCAACTTGCGGTCCGCGGGCCGCATGCGGCCCTCCAACGATTTATATGTGGCCCGAACAGAACTCATTGAATTTATAAAAAAATATAAATTTCAAAACTAATATTATTATAAATATAAAATATAACAAAACAATCAAAGTGTGTGCGATGAAGATGATGTTTTTGGTATTTTTTCTATTTATAACGATTTTGATGTATTTTATCTTATCGCTAAACTGGCCGTAGCTCGAAGGTAGGTATGCATTATGATTATATGAACGGTTAGTCACGTTGTAGATGTGTAATAGCGTTGATGTCAGGCACATTTATTTATTAAATATCAATCGTAATTTTATTTTTTTATATTTGTTGTGACATTATGGCAGGCGTATCTTCGAAAAAACGAAAAATATCTGAAGAAAATAGACTGGTTCAGGACAATTGGGAAGAAGAATATTTTTTCGTACAAAATAAAAAGGGTTCAACTACTTTTTTAATCTGTAGAGAAACTGTTATACTTAAAAAATATAATATTTTTCGTCACTACAATACAAAACACGAATCATTTAATAGTACTTATAGTTCCAGATTTTTGATGAGAAAAGAAAAATTAACTTTTTTCAAGAAGGCATTACAACCAGTGGCGTACATTCAAATTTGATCGGGGGGGGGGGGGGGGTTAAAAAAAAAATAACCAACACTAAAACCTTCCGTTTAAAACTACCCATTTTCCTAAAAATCAAACACACTACACGTATAAATATTAATAGGCAAAACAGCAAAACAAATACAAAGGTTTACATAACTCATGGCAGTTAAATATTATTTAATATGCACATAGTAAATACAGAGAATTATATATATATTATATTATTAATTATTTATAACAAAAATTCTAATCTCCTTTTTTTATTGGATAGTTCAACCAGCAATTCATCAGGAGTAATTGAACCATTTTTGTTGATCAAGAGCATAGCTAGACCATTAAGTCTTCCCTATCAAAATTAATTACAACATTAAATTAAGTTGATTATAATCATTAATACTATTATTTAAATTGAACATACCTCAGAAGTAGAGTTGCGTAGGTAAGATTTTATTCTCTTGAGAGTTGAGAATGTCCTTTCATTAGTGGCAGAAGAAACTGTTAAAGTTGCTAATATTTTAACTAACTTAAAAATATTTGGGTACATGGCTTCATTACATATGTAAATAGCGTCCATTGAATTTTTCGGTTTATCCGTTTCTGATAGACATTTAAGTTTTCGTTGCCAAAGATTGGACTCATTTTTGATTCAAAACCCGTATTATTACAATAATAATAATCATCGTATTATAGCGGTTTGATATAATATATCGATAACAGCCTAACATTATGATAGTGGTGAATACATCACGCGCATGCGCAGAACGCACGAGGTGCATTCCTGCGCTTAGACGCTCCCGTGAAAAAAGCCGCACGACGCGTGACGTTTGTCGAAGCGCTGCTGCGTAGTGTACGGTTTTTAAATTTTCGCGCGGTTCCGGCCGGAGAAGAATTGATAACGGCTTGAATAGCGGGCGGGGGTCGGGGATTACGCCGGTCCGGTAATCGATTTCGGTCGGCCTAGAGCAGACTCGCCCGCACGCGCGCCTACGACGGCCGCGACGGACCTGATATCGATTCGCGGCGGCGGTTGTGGAACTCGGTGCGACGTTTGCGCGCGCCAAAGTTTCGCCGGAGCGTGCGCGCGCACACGGGCTGGTGACGCTCGCGCTCGGGGCCTCCGCCTCCGCCGCCTCCGCGGGCGCGTATTGTTTTTGTTATTATTGTGCGCGCGCTCCACGGCGGCGGCGCGCGAGCGACACGCAAACCGACGCACAGTAACAGCTGCGCGCCGTCCGACGACGGTCACACGTTGTCGTCGTTCTCCGCCCCGCCGCCCGTCACCCGGTATGTTGTTCGACGTGTACGCGTGCCGCACCATGAACGCGGTGCTGTTGATCGTGTGCTCGACGTTTTCCGGCGAGCTCCGCACCACCTTTGCCGCCGTACCGTACCTGGACGGTAAGTCGCCCCTCCCCCTCATCATCCCCCATCCCCCCCCC